AAAGTGGGCCCAACGTTTCCATTGGGCTTTGGGCTGGGATTGGTCTGGGAGTCACAGCATTGGGCTGGGATTCACAGGATTTGGAGTACCTAGTTTTGGGAAGCTGATCAACCAGCTGTCTGAACATAGAAGCTCTGATGAAAACTACCCACCACGTTTGAATTACCAGGGGCATCTGGGCAACCCACACATCACCATAGACAAATAGATACTGACACACATAACACACCCGACATCTCAGCTGAACTCACCTAACCAAGACAAAGGTCCTTATGAAAGAATCCAGTATCTAAGTGATGGATAGGCAGGGAGGATTGCTATTTTAAAATTTTTTTGGGGGTTTGTTTATTTAAGTCAACTTATTGGGGGCTCGTACAACTCTTATCGCAATCCATATATACATCCATTGCATCAAGCACATTTGGACATTTGTTGCCATCATCATTCTCAAAATATTTGCTTTCTACTTGAGCAAATGAACCCTTGATAATTAGAAATTATTACTATTTTGTAGGAGAAGAAGCCGCTGCTTCATCCTCCTTAGTCACCTTCTCCAGCCACCCTCGGCCAGCCACCTTTTGGGAGCCGCTTCTCTTGGGAAGCAGCCTCTCCTTACAATTCATCCTTGAACAGGTTTGACCATTCTGGTGTCTCATACAATAAAGCAGGCAATTACTATCCTGGGAGGCATGCAAGCCCCCTGATAGCAGATAACAACCTACGTCACAGAGAGGGGTTGTAACATAGGCAATACAAGCAATAGGAGGGGGATGACCTAGGGGCGAATGTGCTATAGTAGTCTAAGCTTAGTCATCTAGAGTGGGCCCAGGCTTGCCTATGGGCACTGCTTCGAGGGAACAATAACAGAAAGGAATGGGCCCTATTTGGGGTGAGTCAGACCTACAGTCTGGCTGCTCTAGATGGCCGATGTTGGGGAGAATAACCTCTGAACTACTTTTGCTGCCTAGTGAACAATTATTTTCAAGCTAAATCTGGCATATATTTTGGGGAGACAACTTAAGAGAAATCCCTCTGTTCCCCACAGTTTGCAACCTTCCTCATGCCACGACTCTTTAATGCAATTCCTCATGTGGTGGTGATCCCTAACCATACAATGATTATTAATTTTTTTTTTTTACCTTTCCCCCACCCCCTCATACAATTATTTTTGGCAACCGATTACAAGGATCTACATATAACCTCCTCCCTGGAGGATGGACAGCAGAAAAGTGGGTGAAGGGAGAAGTCGGACAGTGTAAGAGATGATAAAATAGTAATAATTTCTAATTATCAAGGGTTCATGAGGGAGAGGGAGTGGGGTGTGGGGAGGGAGGGGGAAAATGAGGAGCTGATACCAAGGGCTCACGTAGAAAGCAAATGTTTTGAGAATGATGATGGCAACAAATGTAAAAATGTGCTTGACACAATGGATGGATGTATGGATTGTGATATGAATTGTACGAGCCCCCAATAAAATGATTTTAAAAAGGAAGAAGAAGAAAAAAAAGATTTTCACTGCTACTTCATCATTGTCATTTTGCTACTGTGATGAATTGTCATGGAAATATCTGATAGGCAGGATGTATTTTCATTGTTACAAATTGAACATCATGAAAACAGAGTGATTCGTCACAAAACAATATGTACTTACATATTGTGAAATATTTCTAATGACAAATCAATGAAATGTTGTCTTGAAGCATGGTGTAGCATGGGTCACGGTCTTCACACTGGGAATTGGTAGGTGAGCATTGTTGCATGTGGGTGGAGCCACCTGGAGACAGATAGAGGGGTGGTGTCTCAGTTCCTAAGACCATCGGAAATATGTGTTTGCCGATGGTCTTAGGGGACCCCTGTGAAAGGGTCATTGGACCCCCAAAGGGGTCAAGACCCACAGGTTGAGAACTGCTGCCATAGGCTTTCCCTGGTGGAGTTTGCAAGTAACTGCTAGGCATTTCTTCTGAGATACGTTTGGGTGGACCTGACTTGTCCACCTTTAGGTAGCGGTCAGCCCACCCACCTCCTGTTTGGGTGGGTGTGGCAGTTACATAATCTCTTGTCAACTTGAGGGAGGTTTGAGTCCAGCCTGTCAATCAGGTCACATCCAATGGTGCCTCTGTGAGTGTGTGGCTTTCTTGAGGATTCTGGGAACTCTGGTTTTCCTCCCTAGAGGTAGGAAATACTCTCTTCGGCTTCACATTCCTGTTGACAAGCTACGTGGAGCCATGCTGATGGCAGCCAGAGCCCTGGTGATGCTTCCGTCACCACTGGACCCACAGGACTTTCCACTCTCCGGCCTGCAATCTTCCTGCATTCGGCATCATTGCATGTGTTGCTTGAGTCTGAAGAGGAATTTATAGATTGTATCGGACATATGGGCTAATATCAGACTGAAGGACTTGCTCTGGACTGTTTTCATTTTGAGATATTATCTTAATATACAATTACTCTTTGATATAAAGTTCTGTCTTACACATATATGTCAATGAATATGTTTATCTAGTGAGATAGTTAAGTTTTATTGTGCCAACCTGGCCGATAAACACATGTGGGGTTAATTGAAGGGTGGAGAGATAAATGGCTCAGTGAGCCTCTCCTTTCTAGTTCTCTTGTCTCTTGCTTTTTGATGGTTGGACCAGGGTGCAGGTACCTTAGCCAGTTCTCTGCCTCAGCTGGCAAGGCTCACTTCCTGGGAGACATCCCTGAGGAGAAGCCAAATGGACTTACCCTGATGCAGCCCTGGGTGCTGGAGCAGCCATGTGGTGACTCCTGCCAGCGCTGAGATGCTTACGCCGCCACTGGACTCATAAGACTTCCTACCCACTGGCCTCTTGCATGCGGCACCATCATGTGTGTTTTGTGAGTTTGAGGACTTTGTAGATCTGTGTCGGACATATGGACTAAGTCGGACTTGTGGCCTTGGGCTGAACGGGGTTGAGATGCTTTCTGAATGTACACTCACCCTCTATATAAAACTCTCTCTCATACATACAGGAGTTGCTGTAGATTTGTTTCCCTGGTCTACCTAGGCTAACCCATCTAGCCAACCCAGCCTTGATGGTGGATGGGGACACAACTTAGTTCTCAAGTAAAAGAACAGTTAGCTACTTCAAAAATCTTTTAATATGAAAAGTTAGAAAACACTTTCTGTGTTGGTGAGCAGCGATGGCAGACCCCTGAGCAGCACCGAGTGGCTCAGGAATGCTGCCAAAGCACCGAGGGGCCTAGCCACGCGGTCCAGGGCTGGAGCAGCTGCTGTGGAAGGCCTCAGTCCAAGGGTAAGTTCAAGTCCACTGGAGAAACTGCCAGGATGCCCTCCTGTGGGGGGGTTGTATGGAGCTAGTGAGCAGGGAGGGGCTCCTATCCAGCCCGTCCCCACCCTAGGAGGTCAGAGACAGGCACCAAGTACCCAGGGGCCCAGAGGGAGAAGGGTGGAGTTCTAGAGAGTGGGACAAAACCCCAGAAAGACAGGGGACAGAGACCAAGAAAGGGGGATTAAGGGGAGGAAGAGACCCAGAGAGAAGTAGGGACAGAGACCCAGAGAGAAAGAGACAGAGATACAGAGAGAGAGGGGGACAGAGACCCATAGAGAAAGAGACAAAGATATATATGGGGGTGGGGGACAGAGACACAGAGAGGCGGTGGCAGTGGGGGTGGGTTATGGAGCAGAGGCTTAGAGACAGACGGACAGAAACTCAGAGAGAGAAAGGACAGAGACAGAAGGCTCTGGCTGTCCGGGCTGCATTCTTATTAGGAGACCCTCCCCACAGACACAGAGTCCATTACAGACAGGGATGGAGGGAGGGAGGCAGGCAGGCAGGGCCAAGCTGAGGTTCAGAGTTAATAACCTGCACCCAGCAGTGCAGAGACGGCAACTGGTCACCGGGGGCAGCACTGAGCTCTGCAGAGGCTGACGTGCTAGAGCCCGAAGCCAAAGCAGGCCAGAGGTTGTGGCAAGTCAGTGCCATCGAATCCATGTTCAAGTGACAGTCGCTGTGTGCGACAGAGTGGCGCCAATCCCTTGAAGCACATCTCTCTCTTTAACCAGAATCTAACTCACTGCCATCAAGCTGATGGCGGTCACTGTGACCCTACAGGGCCGGGCAGAACTGCCCCTGCGTGTTTCTGAGACTGTACCTCTTTATGGCAGTAGAAAGCACGGTCTTTCTCCCGCAAAGCGTTGGGTGGTTTCGAACTGAAGACCTTGCAGTTAGCAGCCCAACGTGTAAAACCCACCAGGGCTGCTGGCGCTCACAATTACAAAAGGCAGGCCTGAGAGCTCTACAAAGGCACCCAACAAGCCCACCCACTCCCCACAGGGCAACTGGGTCAGGAGAGGGGGGCGGGGGCAGGGCTTTGGCAGCTCACCCAGCCCCCGTGGGCCTGGATCCAGGGGGTGAAGCTGTGCACGTGCTCCACGCTGAGTCCTGCCAGGGTGCCGCCCAGCCGAGCCACGCGCCGGCTCAGCTCCATGGCCAGGGCCAGGCGGGCCAGGGGCTCCGGGGAAGGCGGTGGGGGCCCGGGACACGGTGACAGCGGTCGCGCACGGCCGCCATGGGGGCTGGCTTTGCGACTGGAGAACAGCTCAGCCAGGCGGGCGAAGGAATTCAAGGAGAGGCGAGCCAGCTGGCGGCGCAGAGCAGGGTCCAAGGCCAGCTGCGAGGCAAAGAGGAGAAGGGGCAAGGCCCGCCCCCGGGGACGACCCCTTGCCCAAGGCCAGCCAATCAGAGAAGGGGAGGTGTGGCTTTGGAGGCTCTGGCCCAACCTCTCTCACACTGCACTTACTCTCAGTGGCCCGACAGAGCAGGGTAGAACAGCCCCTGTGGGTTCCTGAGACTACAACTCTTTGCAGTAGGAAAGCCTCATCTTTCTCCCCGAGAGTGGCTGGTGGTTTTGAACTGCTGACCTTTAAGATCGCAACACAATGGGTAACCATTATACTACCAGTCTGGTGCTGCCTAGATGCTACCTATTCAACTGAGCCTCCACTCGTCCCATCATCCAATCACCCATCAGCTTCTAACTATTCAACCACGCCTCTACCCAGCCCATCACCCAATCACCAATCAGCTTCTACCTATTCAACCACGCCTCTACCCAGCCCATCACCCAATCACCAACCAGCTTCTATGATGGCTTCTACTCCCAACTATGCCCAGGGAAGTGGTCCATCTCAGCTGTGAAACCACGCCCCTGCGATGCCTCAACAGCCAATCCAGATCTAGCCCCACTTTATGGGGGCGGGTCTAATTTCTAGCCACACCCACCGTGAACCTCCAATCAGAGCCCTGGTCACGCCCCCTACCAATAAACTTAAGGAGCCATGAGAGGAGCACGGTGTCTCCTGTCATGTTATCTGTCTAGGACAGTACGCAAACGTCTGTTCTAGTTGGTTCTCATAAACTGCTTCCTTACTGCAAACGGTATGGAGTTTGTGGGAGCAGCTGCAAACAGTGTTTCCCTGGTAGAAATGTAAACAAACGGTATGGGCCGAGATACGGAACTCACTCTCAAGGCTATGAGAAATTCAAGTGTGTGACTAGCAAACTTATCTGGAACACTGCCAGTATGTAGTACATAAGAATAAAGCACTGCGGGCTGTCAAGGCTGCTGGCAGTTTGTACCGTGTCTGTCTGTGTCTATTTGGTGCTGCAGCCCTGTATTGTCTCTGTGTGTCTGTGTGTCTATTTGAGTTCCATGTTCATTCTCCCTGCTCAAGAAACCACGGCATCAAAACGTAACCACCCAAAGCAAACTCACTGCTATTTAATCAAGTCCAACTCTTTTTTTTCCCCTTTTTTTGGTAAGAGTCCAACTCTTAATGACCCTTGTAGGGCAGTGTAGAACTTTCCGAGACTGTAACTCTTTACAGGAGTAGAAAGCCTCATCTTTCTCTGGAAATGCGGCTGGTTGTTTCAAAATGTTGGCTTTGAGGCAGCAGTCCAATGCATAACGATTATGCTACCAGGGCTCCAGAATCTAGGAAGGCCACTCATTTAAAGCACTTGTCCCACCCTCTTCCCACCAGTCCATTCAATGAAAACAAAGATCTAGCCTCCTAGCCAGTGCCCAGCCATCCCCCTAAATTCCTGTCTCCTTTGGCAAAGGGGTAATGTCCAGCCCCGCCCATTACCTTCTGGTTGATGACTTCTGCTTCCTCCTCCAGCAAGACCACCAGCCTACGCAGCACGGCTTCCTTCTCGGTAGGTGGAGCATCCTCTTGTTCTGTGAAGCAGGTAGAATTCAGTTGCGGGCAGCACCCGGCTACCTTCCTGCTGTGGGCTCTGACCCCAGGCTCCACACAAACAGTGCGATCCCTAGTGTCTCCTGGCTGGTTTTTGGGAGATTACGAGGCCTTTCTTCTGACTCCGTCTTGCTCTATAAAATCTGCTCAGCATCACAGCAGCCCACAAGCTCCCACTGACAGGTGGACAGGGAAGGCACGTGAGGTGGAAGGGCCAGGAATCGAACCTAAGTCTCCCACACGGAAGGCAGGGACTCTACTAATGAACCCCGTCTGCACCCTGACTGGCCACACTCCTGGCCCCATCCCTCTGCAGGGCCCCTCTTGACCTCACCTGGACTGGGAGGTGATCTCAGCTGCTCTTTGACCAACTGCTCCAGCCGCTGGGCCACCAGGGTGTAGAAGTCTGGTGTGGCAGAACCTGGGGTAAAAGTTAGGGGTTAGGGGTGTCCAGGCATAAAAAATTTAAGACTTTTCTTCTCCCAATCACCTTGCCAGGTAGTTACAATTTCCATGCTGGGTTTTGAATATTGATGCAGCACTTGACCCTGAAGAGCATCCCATCCAAGGAAATAAAAAGTCTGGTATTCCCAGAACTACCACCCTAGCCCATGTCTGTTTCAGACATCACCAGCTATTAAATATTGGCCAAGAGACCAATGCTATCACCAGTCCTCAGCCTCATCTAGGAGAAGAAACCTGTTTGACATTCTGAAGTCCAATGCCACCCCATTGCCACTTCTCCTTTGCTCTTGGAGGAAACGGAGGGACCAGGAAGGGAAAGGATGTCCTTAGAGTTGTGTCCCCAGCCAGGGAACAGTGACTGAAAACTAGGTCTCCTATCTCTTTCCTGTGGGTACCGGTGGCTACAAAAGTCCTGGGGGGCAAGGAGGCGTGCATGGATGGAGGAGAGAGGTAAGAACTAAATATCAACTAGCTATAATTAAGGGGAAAAGAAACACCCTCCCCCAGCCAGCGCATGGAATCAACAGATACAAAATCTAGTCGGGAAGACCCAGTCAGGGCAGTATAGCACAGATGAAACATACAACTTTCCTCTAGTTCTTTAATGCTTTTCCCCCTCCCCACTATCATGATCCTGATTCTACCATACAAATCAGGCCAGACCAGAGCATGTACACTGGTACAGATAAGAGCTCCAAACACAGGGAATCCTGACAAATAAACCCCTCGGTACCAATCATGAGAGTAGCCATATCAGGAGTGTAAGGGGAAGGTGGGGAGAGAAAAGGGGAACTGATCACAAGGATCTACATATAACCTCCTCCCAGGGGGATGGACAATAGAAAAGTGAGTGAAGGGAGACAGGAGTTGGTGTAAGACATGAATAGGAATAATTGATACATTATCCAGGGTTCATGAGGGAGGGAGGGAGGGGGAGAAAATGAGCTGGCACCAAGATCTCAAGTAGAAAGAAAATGTTTTGAGAATGACGATGGCAACAACCGTGCTTGACACAATGGATGGATGGATGGATTGTGATAAGTGCTGTAAGAGCCCCCAGTAAAATGATTTTAAAAAAAAAATCGAATTGGATAGGGATGGGCACAGAACAGGATGGTGAGAGTTGGCTTGGGAGACCATATACAGCATCCCTCTGGCTTCTGATTCCATCAGTCCTTTGGGAAGGAAGGCCCCTGGCCCTGCTGGTTTTAAAGGTGATGGAGGAGAAACTGCTTACCAGGTTCTGAAGCATAGCATGGGCGGAGTGGCAGGGAGCAAGGCCGAGGGGACTCAGGGGGCACTGCCCCTCGGCCCAGGGGGCAGGGGAGGCATCGGCGAAGGCGGCTCAAGAAGTCTGTGGGCAGCTCCTGAGTGGGGCTCCTGGGAAGGAGGACCTCAGAGACCGAGTCCACAGGAGCCCTGGAAGCTGTTTCTTCTTCGACGCTTTGAGAGTCACCTCCCTGCAACCTCGGGGACAAAGCCGGTAGAGAGGAGGGAAAGGAGGCAGACTGAGTCCAGGAGCAAGAGTCTGAAAAGGTTCCAACCCAAATGCCAGGCCCCTGAGGGAGGAGTGAAACCTCTCTTACCTGGGTGGAGTGGTCACGGGAGACCCGGCAGCCTCACCCTGCTTGAGGAAGGCTGCAAGGACCCTCATGGTGTCCTCTCGGAGCCCCAGCTCCTCGGCGCCTGCCATGGGGGTACCTGTGAGGGAAGAGGCTCGAGCTAAGTGCTCAGGGTCCAGAGGGGCGAGGAAGCTTGGGGTCCAAACTCTTAAGTGTCTGAATGAGGAGGGGCCCAGGGGCTAGAACTGGTTAATCCCCAAGGCAGGAAGGTGCTGGAGGTCCAGTGCCCAGGGAGAGAAGGGAACTGGGGACCAAGAGTCTGGGAGTCTGGGTGAGGAAGGGGCTGAGGGAGGAGGGGTTGGGGACCCAAACTCTTGGGTCTGGAGAAGGGGAGCTCGGGGGTCAGGCTCCTAGGTCTGAGGGAGAAGGGGCTGATGCTGGGACCTCCGGGGTCTAGGGGTCTGGGGACCCGAACTCCTGGGTCTGAGGTTGGAGGGACTCCAACACCTGGCTTCTGAAAGCCACATTTGCCAAAGTAGTAAATTCAGAGGATGGGGCACTACCAATCCCAGGCGGTTCCCGGGCACGCGTGCCCCGGCGGTTTGCTAGTGTGGGCAGCGCAGCCGGCCGGGAGGGAGGAGGAGTTCCGCGGTGGCTCAGCCTGGACTCACGAGGACGCGGGACGCGCGGGTGTCGGAAAAGCAGGGAGGGCAAGCCGGCCACCGAGTCCTGGTCCCTCCTCGGTCCGGCGGCTCATCCCGGGTGAACACCGGGCTCACCTGGCCCCGGCCCCCACCTCCGCCTCCACTGAACTTGCGCAAACTTTTCAAAGCTTAACTTCCGTGCGCTTGCGCACTGGGCCGGGCGACTACCCGCCCCGGCGTCGAGGGGCGGGGCGCTGCCCGCCGGCAAAATTTTGCTGGTGGGGTTCCCAGCAGGCCCGAGCCCGGAAGGCCTTAAAAGGGCCTGGAGGTGGGGTCTGGGCGGGCGGGACCGCCCCTCGAGTCTGGAAAGGTTGCACGCACCAAGTTTGATCGGGTCGTGATCATGGAGAGGAAAGCCCCGCCGCTTTAGAATTCCGCTGACCGGAAAGAGAGGGGGGCGCACAGTGTAGAGCTCGATCCCAAAGACCGGGGAGACCCCCAGCACTCGGCGACCCTCGACCTAGGTGACGCGGAAGAGCCGGGGCCATCTCAGGGTGAGGGGCAGGAGAAGGCGGGGGAGGAGGGGTGGGTGTCTGCCCTGAGAGTGGCAGCAGGGCGAAGAGGGGGGGCTCTTGTTGGAAGTCCGTCTCCAGAGAGGTCTACCCTGGGGTGTCCAAAGAGGCCGGTGAGGATTGTGCACGGACAGTGGATACGGGTGCATGGGGGGTCTTCAGTGGGTGGGGGGCACTATCGCAGGGGTCTGCTGGAGATAGACGTCTGCATTTAGTCACCTGCCCACTCCCTGCCATCCGATCTATTCCGACTCATGGCAAGGCTTTCCAGACGGGAGCAGCCCGCCTGTTTTCCGCAGCTCTGCGGCGCGGCTGCGAGCCTTGAACCCCCGACAGAGGAGTTAGCAGCCCGAAGCTTGCCACCAGGGAGTAGCATCTGACATAACTAGGGCGGGTGGTGGGACCCAGCCTGGACGTTGGGGTGGGGTGGGGGGTGGGCGTGTGCTTCACAGTGGGAGAATGAACTCCCCTGGTAGAGTTTAGGGAGCAGAGGGTCGGCTGCACTGAAGACCTAGGGCGCGGGGTGGGGCGGGGCGGAACTGTCAAGGAATATGGGGGGGGGTCCTCGCTGCGTTGAAGAGAGGATGGGAGGAGGACGGGTCTCTGTAGGGTCCCGAGGCGCCCGGAGGAGGCAGGCTTGCACGCCAGGAGGAACCCGCGGGGGTGGGCCTGGAGAGGGAGGCGCGGGTGGATGGAGGGGGTGGGGGGTCGCGCCCAGAAACTGCCTGACCCTCTGCCCGCAGGCCGGAGCATGGGGACCCAGAAGCCGCGGATTCTGCCTTGGCTCATTTCGCAGCTGGACTCCGGGCAGATGGAGGGCGTGGCCTGGGTGGACGCGAGCCGCCAGCGTTTCCGTATCCCCTGGAAGCACCGCCTGCGCCAGGACACGCAGCAGGAGGACTTCCGCATATTCCAAGTGCGGAGGGCCGGGGCGCGGGAAAGCCCGAGCGGAGCGCCGGCGGGCGGGGGCGGGGCCTGGCGGGGCGGGGCGGGCTCCCATAGGGCAGGGCCCTCCGGGTGGGCGGGGTCAGTCCGACCGGTGATCGGAGTGCAGGGAGGATGCTGCCCTTGGAAGAGAGGAACCAGCGAGTTTGGCTCGTGAAGGTGGGGCTACGAGAGGGGGTGGGAGTGGGCGGAGCTGTGCCGATGGAGAGGCTGGTGGGCTGGATGCGGGCAGGTCCGGGAGCCGGTTCTGGGAGCAGGTCTTGCGACTTCGGAAGAGAGGTTCAAGCACCCCAAAGTGGGGTTGCCAGGCGCGAGGTTGCCCAGGGCAGGTGGTCGTGGGTTCGAAAGCAAACGCCTTTGAACGCTGTGGGGAAGATCTAGGACCACGCAGAACCCCACAGTTCAGGGGGTCAGGGGTGGAGGCTTGTGGGGTTAGCCTTGCTGCAAGGGGAGGGTAAGTGTTAGGTCCCCATGGGCGAGACCCCAGTCTTCTCCCCTCCTACGCCTAGGCCTGGGCTGAGGTCAGCGGCGCCTACAATCCCGAGAAAGATAAGCCAGACCCCCCTACCTGGAAGCGGAACTTCCGGTCAGCCCTGAACCGGAAGGAGGTGTTGCATGTAGCCGAGGACCACAGCAAGGACCCAGTGGACCCACACAAGATCTACGAGTTTGTAACATCAGGTGCGCGAGCAGCAGGCCTTGGCATGGAGACTGGGATTTAGGGGGGTCCGGCACCCCTATTTGGCTCATCTTTCGTTTTGACAGTAGATCGGGACTTTCCTGAACCGGACACCCTTCCGAGCACCCATGACGGGGGCAGTGCTTCTTGTAGCCAGGTAAGAATCACCCCTCTCTCCTAACCTTCCAGTGGGCACACTGTTCCTGTGTGGCCCACCCTCTCCCTTGCTCCCAATTCCCTCCCCTCTCCTCTTCCCCATCCCTACCAAGTGGTTCGCCAGTCTCAGGAGGAAAGTCAGATTCCCTCCAAGGTCCTCACTGCACCTTGCCGGGACTTTGAAAAGTTTTCCTGCTTGGCAGGGAAATTAACCCCACTACCACAAGGTCAGCAGTTCCAATCCACCTGCCGCTTGCTCCTCCTGGAGAAGAGGAGGCTGTCTGTTCGCCTAGAGTTCAATCTTAGAAATGCATGTGGCCACTTTGCCCGTCCTCTAGACCAGTGGTTCTCAACCTTCCTAATGCCTCCACCCTTTCATACAGTTCCTCATGTGGTGGTGACCCCCAACCATAAAATTATTTTTGTTGCTCCTTCATCACTGTCATTTTGCTACTGTTATGAATTGTCATGTAAATATCGGATATGCAGGATCTATTTTCATTGTTACAAATTGAACATAGTGATTCATTACAAAACTATATGTACCAGTAATTATATATCATGAAATAGTTGTGTTTTCCGATGGGCTTAGGCGACCCCTGTGAAAGAGTCCTTCAACCCCCAAAGGGTTGACCACCCCCAGGGTTGAGAACCACTACTTTAGAGCCTCTGTGGAGTGACCCTGGATTTTTGAGGGCACCCAGTGTGCTTATGCATTTGGGCTGCTGACCACAGAAGGTGTGGTTCAAGCCCACCTGCCGACTTCTTCTGGAAGACCCCATTGGGATGGAGGAGCAGGAGGGCTATACCCTCCGTGGTGTGGGTTCGCCAGTCTTGTGATGAGCAGCCGATTGCTTGACCCCGTGCCCCCATGGCCACTGCAGTGCCTGGGCAAGTGAGCGGCTGTCTCCTCCATCTGAGAGGGCGCCCTGGAGGCCCCAAGTTGCTGGGCCAGGGGTAGCCCTTGGTCACATGGTGGCCTCTTTTCTTCTCCAGGATGACATCCTGGAGGACTTACTGGATAGCATGGTGCTGGCCCCAATCCCAGACGGGGGTCCCCCAAGCCTCGCCGTGGCCCCTGAGGACCCCTTTCAGCTCTTGCTCAGCCCTACTGTGGACCCTTCTGTGCCCTGCAGGGGCTTGGTCCCCCAGGAAAACCCCCTGAAGCAGCTGCTGGTCCCTGAGGATGGTGGGTGCAGGGGGATGGATGAGTAGGTGGTGAGGAGGCCAGAGTGGGGGTCCCCGCTGGGCCCTCTTCCACTGGCTAAACCGTCTCTCCTCTGCTCAGACTGGGAATTCGAGGTGACCGTCTTCTACCGGGGCCGTCAAGTCTTCCAACAGGCAGCCTTCTGCCCCGGGGGTCTGCGGCTGGTAGGCTCCGAAGTGGCAGAGAGGGCCCTGCCTGGGCGGCAGATGCTGCTGCCCAACCCCGGGCAAGTCCTAGCAGACATGATGGCAGTGGACTACGTGAGGCGTGTGCTGGGGTCACTGGGGTCAGGGCTCATGCTGTGGCGGGCGGGGCAGCGGCTCTGGGCCCGGAGGCTGGGCCACAGCAGCGTCTTCTGGACGGTCAGCGAGGAGCTGCTCCCCGAGGGCACACACAACGAGGTCCCCAAGGACGTGGGAGGCGTCGTGTTTGACCTGGGACCCTTTGTGGCAGGTAAGCGGGCCAGGGGGTCCCTAGTAGTTTGGGATCTGATGATGGCTCTGTCTACCTTGGGTCCTGGGCCCATGTCCTTTCTGCCCGCTGACTCTGAGCCGAGCCCAGTGCAGATAGTGCCGTTGTCCATACTGCGGTCTGATGGCCACACATGCCCGCCAAGGGCCGGTACGGTCAAGTAATAACTCTGCGAGGTCCCCCGTGGCCCAGTGACTAAGCATGCGGCTATTAACCAAGAGGGTGGCGGTTCGAACCTGCCAGCCGCTCTCCAGGAGGAAAATGAGGCAGTCAGCTGGGATTAAAAAGGCAGTTAGCTTGGAAATCCCTGGGCACAGTCCTGCCTGCCCTGCAGAGTGGCCAGGAGTCAGAATCCACTGGACTAGGCGGTGGTGGGTGGTGGTGGTAAGGGGCCTGGTTTTGGGTGAGTGAATACAAGAGGCACCAGTGGTAAAGTGCTCAGGCCGGTGGCTCACACCCACCAGCAGCTCCGAGGAAGAAAGAGGTGGAAACTGACAGGTGCAGTGCTTCCGCCTGCAGGGTCGGAAGCCGACTGGCACAGGCCTAAGGGCTTGGGGGCAGGTGACACCCAACACCTCCTTCTCTGGGACCACTGATCATCTGCAGGAAGCGGAACTCCTTCTGGAGTGGGGTGGTGGGGCTTGGCCTGGTGCAGGGAGGGCGACAAGGGTCGCCTATGTGTGTGCCAGGGCTATGGGGATTTTGCTGGAAGCAAGTGTCCCCAGGTTGTGGCGTCAGAGCTGTGAAGGGCCCTGGGTTGAGGAGCTGGGAGGTGGTGAACTCTAAGTGGGAATCCTCCCTGACGCCCCCTCCCCACTCCCAGATCTGATTGCCTTCATTGAGGGAAGCACACGCTCACCCCGCTACACCCTGTGGTTCTGCATTGGGCAGCAGTGGCCCCAGCATGTGTCGTGGACCAAGAGGCTGGTGATGGTCAAGGTTGCCTGGGTCTCCTGAGGCTGAGGGGTGGGACTGAGGGGGGTGGGACAGGGGAAGAACATGCTCAGACAGGACCCACCCCCCACCAAGCCCCTCAGGTAGGTGGCCAGATTTTAACATTGGTAAAGCGGGACACCATTGATAAAACGCATATCCTGGCAAAATAGCCACATGGCAGCTCAAAACCGTATACCCTAGCTTGTCCGGCATTCTTTCCAAAAATTGGGACTTTTTAAAAAACGCCACGGGACATGTGAAAAATTGTTAAAAATCGGGACTGTCCCGCCAAAACCTTACCCTCTGAGAAATGACAACTTCCACAAGTTCCAGTTCTCGTAGGGCGTCCCTTAAGTGACCTTGCTCGCCTGGACAATAGGTTCCTTCTGACCACTGGCCCCTTAGCCCTGGGGGCTTCTGGGAGCCTGTCTCTTAGAAACCGGTTGTAGCCCCCCTGTTGGTCCAACTATAACTCCCTGCAGCCCCAGGCCTGATGCTGCGCCATCCAGACACCGCAGAGAGGACAGCTGGGAATTGTAGTCTGGGGCTGGCAGGGCAGTGGGGTTTGCCCTTAACTCAGGCATTCTCCTGCCTCCTGCAGGTAGTTCCCACTTGCCTCCGGGCTCTGTTGGACATGGCCCGGGAGGGGGGCGCCTCCTCCCTGGAGACCGTGGACCTGCACATCTCCAACAGCCCCTTGCTCTCCCTCACCTCCGACCAGTACAAGGCCTACCTGCAGGACCTGGTTGAGGACATGGAGTTCCAGGTCGCGGGGGAGGCCTGACCTCCATTGAAACACCCTGCTGCAGGGCCACAGTGCCCGACTCCCAATAATAAACTGGTTTCCATGACAGCTGGCATTGTGGGGACCTCAGTATTTATTCACACTTCTCACTCGAAGCCCTCCCAGTGGCTGGCTTCCCAGTGACCTGGTATGGAGGCAAAGGTCACTTGGACCGGCACAGGGGTCAGGAGGTCACGACAGGCTGGCTGCTCTGGGAACGGTCTGCATGGTTACCCAGGGGCAGGTCTCCCGCCTCACTTGGACCTTGGGGAGCACCCTAACTGCGTCCCAGTCATGCTGCGAGACCCCAGCAAGTCCCCTTGGCCCGGGCTCCAGCCCTGCCTGGCCTGGTGGCCCTTATAGTCTCCATGCAGGGTAGCAGTGAGGTCCTCCCATCCACAGGGCTGCTCCTGAGAAGCCGACCTGCCCCGGGGCAATGAGCCCCCTTCTGTGGCAGCAAATGTGACCCTCAAGACTCGACTCTAC